AACGTGGAATTACTGGATCAAACGCTATGATTAAAAGGATTCCAATCCCTGTTGTCAGTCCTCTTTCCAGAAGAGAGGCAGAGAGGAGCAGTGCAGGAAAGAGCTCATTGCAACCTGAGGATGAGAACCTCTTTGTGAAGAGGGAGATTCTCACCAACCCCCAAACCTCCTCTCCTGGTCTCTGGATGCCTGGAATTCTTTGAGAGAGAGAGAGAGGGAGACAAAGGCTGTGCTTTTCCTTTAAAGAGGAAATACCTTAGAGGCTCAGCTGGCAGGGGCTTTGAGGTCCGGTGTGTGTGAATGAAGGTATGGGGCCCTGCCCTGATTAGAGGTGGAGGTGGCCCCTGGGAGACCCAGCCTGTCACTGAGAAAGGGAAGGACATTCCCACCAGCTCTACCCTAATGTGGAGTCTGCCCTAATGTGGAGTCTGCCCTAATGTGTTGGGAGCCACACCAATACAACTCTACATAGCCCACAGGGTCACTTTACTCGAACCTGTCCTACTCGATCCCTGACAGTTTCATGTGCAAAGTGTTTTCTGTCCCTTTCTATGTGACTTCTGCAGTGTCCTCTCCTTGGGAATGTTAGAGCACAAAACTCTCTTGCTAATAAAATGAGGTGGCTGGGATTAGTGCCTCGTGGAGCTTTGAGACTGGACAGAGTAGGTTGAGTTTCAGCTCTGCCACATGGGGAAATGGGGGTTATACTCCAGCCTTACCGGACTGTTGGGCAGATTGTGTATTGGGTATGTAAAAGGGTCTTTTCGTTTGATGATGAGATTGCCTGAAAGCAGGCACTCAGCACGTTTGTCTTCAAGTATGTACCATATAAACGCATAAATCTCTCATTTCTAGAACTGCAGAAGATAACTTCGTTTTGTTGCAGTCATAGGGCTATAAAAAATTAAGTTTATGTTAAATGAAATAGAAATCGATTTAAGTGATTGTGTGATTTGGAAGGTTGTGTGTGTGTGTGAGAGAGAGAGAGAGAGAAATAGAGAAATAGATACTTAATTACCTCTTCTTTATTTTTAAAATTTAAGTCCAATTAATTAACATATAGTGTATGTTTCAGAGGTAAAGGTCAGTGATTCATCAGTTGCATATAACACCCAGTGCTGGGGCACCTGGGGGCTCAGTCGGTTAAGCGTCTGCCTTTGGCTCAGGTCATGGTCCCAGGGTCCTGGGATCGAGCCCCACATCGGGCTCCCTGCTCAGCGGGAAGCCTGCTTCTCCTTCTCCCACTCCCCCTGCTTGTGTTCCCTCTCTCGCTGTGGCTCTCTCTCTGTCAAATAAATAAATAAAATCTTTTTAAAAAATAAAACCAAAAAACCAAACACCCAGTGCTGATTACATCACCTGCCATCCTTAATGCCCATCACCCAGTTACCCCATCCCCCCACCTCCCCTCCAGCAACCCTCAGTTTGTTTGCTGTGATTAAGAGTCTCTTATGATTTGTCTCCTTCAGTGATTTCATCTTGTTTTATTTTTCCCTCCCTTCCCCTATGATCTTCTGTTTTGTTTCCTAATTCCACCTATGAGTGAGATCATATGATAATTGTCTTTCTCTGACTGGCTTACTTTGCTTAGCATAATACCCTCTAGTTCCATCCATGTTGATGCAAAAGTTGGGTATTCATCCTTTCTGATGGCTGAGTAATATTCCATTGTATATATGGACCACATCTTCTTTTTTTTTTTTTTTTTGAAGATTTTATTTATTTATTTGACAGAGACAGAGACAGCGAGAGCAGGAACACAAGCAGGGGGAGAGGGAGAGGGAGAAGGAGGCTCCCACAGAGCCCAATGTGGGGCTCGATCCCAGGACCCTGGGACCATGACCTGAGCCAAAGGCAGACACTTAACAACTGAGCCACCCAGGCGCCCCAAATCCAGTTGACTTTTTTTTTACTTTTATACATTTATTTATTTGAGAGAGAGTGTGCGAATGCAAACGCACATGAGTGGAAGGAGAGGCAGAGGAGGAGGGAAAGAATCTCAAGCAGACTCTGCACTGAGTGTGGATCCTGATGCAGGGCTCAGTCTTGCAACCCTGAGATCATGACCTGAGCCAAAATCAAGAGTGAGATGCTTAACTGACTGAGCCACCAAAGCAACCCCAGTTGATTTTTTTTAAGGAAGCTTTATGCCCAATGTGAGACTCAAACTCACGACCCTGAGATCAAGAGTTGCATGCTCTACCAACTGAGACAGCAGGGCGCCCTTAATCATATTTAACTTTTAGTTTTTATTTTTTTTAAGATTTTTTATTTATTTATTTGAGAGAGAGAGAATGAGAGAGAGAGAGCACATGAGGGGGGGAGGGTCAGAGGGAGAAGCAGACTCCCTGCCGAGCAGGGAACCCAATGCGGGACTCGATTCCGGGACTCCAGGATCATGACCTGAGCCGAAGGCAGTCGCTTAACCAACTGAGCCACCCAGGCGCCCTATACCACATCTTCTTTATCCATTCATCTGTCGATGGACATCTTGGCTTTTTCCACAGTTTGGCTATTTTGGACATTGCTGCTATAAACATCGGGGTGCACGTGCCCCTTCAGATCACTACATTTGTATCTTTGGGGTAAATACCCAGTAGTGCAATTGCTGGATCATATGGTAGCTCTATTTTCAACTTTTTGAGGAACCTCCATACAGTTTTCCAGAGTGGCTGCACCAGCTTGCATTCCCACCAACAGTGGAGGAGGGTTCCCCTTTCTCCGCATCCCCGCCAATATCTGTCATTTCCTGACTTGTTAATTTTAGCCATTCTGATTGGTGTGAGGTGGTATCTCATTGTGGTTTTGATTTGGATGTCCCTGATGCCAAGTGATATGGAGCACTTTTTCATGTGTCTGTTGGCCATTTGTATGTCTTCTTTGGAGAAATGTCTGTTTATGTCTTCTGCCCATTTCTTGACTGGATTATTTGTTGTTTGGGTGTTGAGTTTGTAAGTTCTTTATAGATCTTGGATACTAGCCCTTTATTTGATATGTCATTTGCAAATATCTTCTCCCATTCTGTCGGTTGTCTTTTGGTTTTGTAGACTGTTTCCTTTGCTGTGTGAAAGCTTTTATCTTGATGAAGTCCCAATAGTCCATTTTTACCCTTGCTTCCCTTGCCTTTGGAGATGTGTCTAGGAAGAAGTTGCTGTGGCTGAGGTCACAGAGGTTGCTGCCTGTGTTCTCCTCTAGGATTTTTTTAAAAAAGATTTTATGTATTTATTAGAGAGAGAGAGAGAGGAAACACAGGCAGAGGGAACAGCAGGCAGAGGGAGAAGCAGGCTCCCCACTGAGCAAGGAGCCTGATGCGGGACTCAATCCCATGACACTGAGCCAAAGGCAGAGGCTCAACCGACTGAGCCACCCAGGCATCCCTCTCCTCTAGGATTTTGATAGATTCCTATCATCAGATACTTACCTAGTTGATATAACAGTAAGTGTTCAATTCTATCTGTTAGTCAGGGAAGAGAAAGCAGAGGGCCGGAAGAGGACAAAAAAGAAGAGACAGACCTCCATGCTTAAAAGGAAAAGGAGAAATATAGAGAAAATGGGCGATGTATTCCCACTGATGGATCTGCCCCTGGGGGTACCACCCAGGCCTGTCTGTCCCAGGACTCTCCCTCTGCCTTGCTGGACCAGCTCCCTGTCAGAGCCTGGGGGATCAAAGCTCCAAGGTCAGAGGCCCATCAGTCTGTTCTGTCTGGTTCTGTCATAGGATACTATTTTGAGTGTTGAGGATTCATTGATTTATTCACTCTTTTCTTCAACAAATATTGAGTGTTTATTGCATCCCAGACACTGGGCTACGACTAATTATAATTGTCATCAAGTTTTAGTAACCTCTGCAGCAGATAAAAAAAATAACAATTATAATGATGTGATATGCTGGGAATAAATAGCGATTGCCACCATTCTTACTATTAAATGACTTGGAAACATTTTTTTCATATTAATATTAAGAAAGAAAGTGATGGAAGTGAATGAATGATTCTGCCCATAAGTGTGTGAGAGAGGGCAGTTATATGGGAAACATCATGGAAGGAGAATTTCAATGGAACTTATTTGCACAAGCAGAGCAGACCTCCCCCTCCCCAGGAAAGCATGAGAATAATCAACTAGACGCCCAGGACCCAAAGGGCCCGTTTTAATAAGATTCGGGGTCTCCTTGATGGTGAGGGTGAGGGTGAGGGTGACCGCATGATGCTTCTGACCTTCCGGGCAAGGAGTGGACCTGTGCACCAAATCCCAGGAAACAGAGTTTCCTGGGGACATCCTGCGACCTCCGCCTTCTCTTCCTGAGCTTGACCAAAGTTGCTAGCATCTCATTCGTGCTAGCATCTCAAACGCTAGCATTTGTATGCGTGCCAAGATACATTTTTTGTGTGATAAAAATCTTATAGGCCTGAACTTGTGTCCATTGATTCCTAGAAAAAAGATTTAATTTAATTTATCGCTGCCCTGAACCTTGACCCTTGGTTCCTGCCATGGAACTTTACCTCCCTGTGACGTGGACACTGCTCTGGGTCCCCCAGCCCGAGCTTCCTGAGGAGCTGGAGCCTCTCCCCGTGCAGCCCCTCCTTCTTCTTTCTTGCCCCCCTCAGCGTCACCTCTACCTGTATCTTTGCTTGGAGCTCTGGCAATGTGCTCCAGCCACCCTTGGGACTTCCGCCTGTGCCTCTGTCAGAGCCCCTCAGGCCACGTCCCTCACCTCCTGCTGACATGTGTCAGCTGGCCCCTCCCTGCCCCGGACGCAACCGGGATGTTTGGACCTGTTCATCTTTCCTCCAGCCCTTCCTACCACTCACTGAGCTATTCTGTAATGAAATGGTGCCGGGAAAGATAGTTTAAAGTTCTGCTACACTTTCACAACTAGAAGCACAAATGAGACTGTTTGGGTTTTTGCTATTTACCCCTGGGGCTTGGATTAAATTAAGTAAATGTGCATCATCCCCACCCCAGGCTTGGAATAATCTGATGCGCTCTTTTTCTGGTCCCAGGTTCCAGCTGGACATGACATCACCACACAGGTAAGTCAGCATTGAACTTCCAGTCTGCCCTGTGTGTCTGCCCCAAACCCAGTATCATGTGCTCACTGTCTCCATGATCACGTTGTCCACTGTCCCACATTTAGAAGTCTTACCTCCTGGACTAGACTGTAAGCTCCCAAGGTTAGAGACTAGACGTCCTCTATGTTGTCCGCAGCACCCAGTGCACTGCTTACTATGCACAAGCACCCAGTGGAGGCTTGTAAATGACGAAAGTAGAGTGGAAGAAAATTTGCGATGCAGAGGACTTCGAAGGGACGACCCAGAATATTATGATGGGAGATGAGGAAAAATTTAGTAATGCCTCCCTGAACAAAGAGGTGTCCACCAGGGTTTTCTCAGAATTAAATATAAATTCAGATGGCATTTTTAAAGCAGAATCAGATGGTTTATAACTGATTATGATCAACCAGTTACTTGCCCGAATTCTGTGCCTAGTTCTCCCCCAACAGGCTAGTTAGGGACTGAGTTTTCATCTAGCCATGGCCGTGGCCCTGGGTGCTCCTGCAGGTGGTGGGGCATCTGGGAAGGCGGGGGACAAGCCTTGCGGCCACTGTTCCACGGCTCTGGAGTGCGGTGGGTATTTCCACCTGACAGGTTTGCTGGGAGCACCTGACGTAACGTGCGTGAAGGTGCCTACGGACCCGAAAGTGCCAGACCAAAACAATGTGACGTTTTGATCGTTCGTTCTCTGTAGTAAGAGACAGCTCTTTGGAGAGTTCAGCTCAGTTCAGACGGGAGCCCACCGCGCCCAGCTGTCTCAGCTGTCCTCAGGAATTTCGTGGCAGCCCCTCCCTCGCTTCTCAGCTGGCCCGGTGATTCAGAAAGCACCCCCTCCACCCACCCTGATGGCTCACGTCCCAGTTCTTCAGCTTATCCCTCCTAAAGTGTATCTGTGACTCACTGCCCAGTATATGCTCTTCGGCTCACTCACTTGATCAGGAGAGATAAAGCCATCTGTGCTGTGTCCACAGGGCTCCAAACGGGGAGCCCTGCACTTTACGCGACACACCTCATTTAAGGCCGTCCTTTCCGAGGCAGGTCTTATTCCCTCTTCTACAGATGAGGAAACCAAGTCTGAGAGGACCAAGGAACTTGTCCCGGCCCCTGGCTCCTTCTTAGACTCTAGCTGCTGCTTTTTCTTTTCTCCTTTTACATTTTATTGTATTACCAGAAGAGCCCTTGAGATGAGATCGACCCTCTTAGCAAGGCATACACTGTGTCATTATTGGCTATAGATACAAGGCTGGATAGCAGATGTCTAGAACTTACTCATCTTGCTCAACTGAAACTTTATACTGCTGATGAGTAACTCCCCATTGTCTAGATCCTAGCTGCTTCTTTTTTTTTAATATTTATTTTATTTTATTTATTTGACAGAGAGACACAGCGAGAGAGGGAACACAAGCAGGGGGAGGGGGAGAGGGAGAAGCAGGCTTCCCGCAGAGCAGGGAGCCCGATGCGGGGCTCAATCCCAGGACTCTGGGATCATGACCTGAGCCGAAGGCAGACGCTTAACGACTGAGCCACCCAGGCGCCCCAGATCCTAGCTTCTTAAACAAGAAACCGGGGCCGGGAGCTCGGGGGCTGTATCCACACTGACATAATGCAACAGAACTGTTTCAGCCGCAATAGAATTGATTGGAAACTGATGAATCAGGAAGACCTATTTTGTCTGGTGTTTATTCCAGGGAGAGCTGGGGGTCACAAGGCTGAGATTTTCTCCCTGGCCCTGCCCTTCCCGTTCATCCTTGCTGGACGAGAGCCCACACTCACCCACCGGACAGACACACTGAGCAACCAGCCTCTGCTCCAAACAGACGCCATGCCTCGTCCTCTCTCTCATCTGGCTGCCACTCAACACAGCAGTTGGAGAAGTGGCACCTCAAGGGCTCCCCGACTATTTTTATGTGGCCATCTGCCTTCTGGACCGGGCCTGGCAGGCAGCAACAGGCCCGAGGAACGCCACAGCAAGTGGGTGACGCCCAGACAGCTGAGGACGCCCAGCCCTGCCCCTGACTCTTGTTCTAGGGATGCTGGAAATGTGGTGCAAGGGTACCAAGAGGAAAAAGAAAGGCTTTTTCATGCCGTAGCTGGGGGTGCTGTGGGGGCCCTTGGTTCCTTTTCCATTTCTAGAACAAGCTAAGGCCGGTTCAGTCCTGCCATTGCCAGGGCCCAGGTGGCAGGGCTGGGCGGGGAGTACAGTGTGTGGGGCAGCAGCTTGGGCCACCTGCTGACCTCAGGGCCATCAGAGGAGAGAGCGTAGCAAAGACGCTCTGCGGAGGGGCTGCGCTCCATGAAAGCCTCGGGCTTCAGTTGTAATAAGACCCTGGGGTGTCCCTGCAGCCCACCCTGACTGAAAGCTAAGCCTGGGGCAACATGGAGGCAGGCGGGGCTTTTCCGTGGTCAGATCTGTGATTAGAGGAAGGGTTTGCCTCACTCATAGCTCCCTGGGACGGAGGAAGCATTACAAATCAATCAATAAAAGCCCCCTTTGCGGGGCGCCTGGGTGGCTCAGTCATTAAGTGTCTGCCTTCACTAGGGGTTCGAGATCCCAGGGTCCTGGGATAGAGCCCCGCCTCCGGCTCCCTCAGGCTCTCTCCGGCTCCCTCCGGCCCCTCGGGTTCCCTCCGGCTCCCTCCAGCCCCTCGGGTTCCCTCCGGCTCCCTCGGTCCCTCCGGCCCCTCCAGCCCCTCCGGCCCCCTGCTCTGCGGGAGGTCTGCTTCTCCCTCTCCCACTCCCCCTGCTTGTGTTCCCTCTCTCGCTGTGTCTCTCTCTGTCAAATAAATAAATAAAATCTTTAAAATAAAAGGCCTCTTTGCAATACAGAAAATTTTAAACAGATGCATATCAGACATAAGATATTGAACCCAGCTTCATGTGGAAGCATTTCTTTTTTTTTTTTTTTAAAGATTTTACCTATTTATCCGACAGAGAGAGACACATTGAGAGAGGGAACACAAGCAGGGGGAGTGGGAGAGGGAGAAGCAGGCCTCCCGCGGAGCAGGGAGCCCGATGTGGGGCTCGATCCCAGGACCCTGGGACCATGACCTGAGCCGAAGGCAGATGCCCAACAACTGAGCCACCCAGGTGCCCCTTTTTTAAAAAATATTTTTAATTAACATATAACGTATTATTTGTTTCAGGGGTACCAGTCTGTGATTCATCAGCCTTACACAATTCACAGCACTCACCATAGCACATACCCTCCCCAATGTCCATCACCCAGCCACCCTACCCCTTCCACCCTCTCCCCTCCAGCAACCCTCAGTTTGTTTCCTGGGATTAAAAGTCTCTTAGGGTTTGTCTCCCTCTCTGGTTGTCTCTTGTTTCATTTTTCCCTCCCTTCCCCTATGATCCTCTGTCTTATTTCTCAAATTCATGTGGAAGCATTTCTTCAACAAACCTTGACAATACACCTGTCTCCTGATAAAAGAAAGAAAATGGTGTATTCACGTCAGATTTATAGTAAAGGCTTCATTTGCCTTTTTCAGGAAGAAATGGGAAAATAAATGGGTCAGTATATTGAATTTCTGTTATGTCTTTCTTTCTCCTCAATGTAAAGGATGTTTCCTTCCCAAGCATTTATGATGTCTGCTACCTGCCAAACCCCATTCCAGGTCCGCGTGCTCCATCAGGCTCCTGGGGTCAGGAAGATGTGGATCAGGGCATCCGGAGCCCTGGGCTGGCACTGGTGGGACTTTGAGAAAGGCACCTAGATTCTAGGCTTCCTCATCTACAGGGTAACCATGATAATGAGGATCTTAACTGCATTGTTATGAAAATCAAATACAATTATCTTCAAACTATGGAACTATCTCATAATCATAAAAACATTAAAAAATTTAAAGAAGTTATTTGGAACATGACTGACCCAACAGGAGTCAGAATTTTTCTGTGGGCCCCTAAAACTGCCCTCCTTCTAGAAGGAGAGGTTGGACAATTAAACTGAATTTCTGCCCTCCCTGCGGCAAGGACTCTGGTTGCAAATGGCCGATGGCCAGTGAGGGGCTGGGGCAAGGGCACAAAGCAGAACTCTCCCTCTTGCTCTTCCTGCCTCCTCGCAGGACCCCAGCACACCCACTCGGGCTCCGGGGGCATGCCAAGGAGCAACGACACAAGAGCTTCAGGCAGCCCTGACTCCAGCCTCCCAAGGACGTGAGCACCTAATTCCCTGTGCCGGACCCTTCCCTGCTGGAGCTGTCCGCAGTGGCTGTTCCCCTGCTTTGAACCCTGCCTGCAATGGCAACTCAGAGAATGAACTAGGGGACACAGTCATGGGCGGCCATGGGAGCAGAGACGGCCCTGATCCCGCTGCCCCTGTGCTCTCCCTCTCGTTTCTATGAGGTTTGGTCTCTGTGTTGGTCTCTTGGGCTTTTTAGGTGGCAGGGACCATGGATGCCTCTTGGACCACATGCGTGGCTTTGTGTTTGGCAGCTCCAACCACACATTGGAGAGTCGAATACCAGCTGTTCCTCAAAGAAGGGTCTGTTTGTCTCACCTGAAGAGCAGGAAGGGATGCAGTGCCGAGAGAAGGGACCCCCGCCACAGAAACGCGTAGTCAAGACAACCGAGCCGAGCACCGGACTCCGGCATCTGGGGGTTGCCTTTGCTGTTGCTGAAAGATCCTGCGCAACCAACCACCCCAAAATACAGCGGCTTGAACAATGGGCATGTCTTTTCTTTTCTTGCCCCCCCACCCCCCACCCCCTGCCACTTGGCTGGCAGCTCTGCTTGGGGCTGCAGGTCATCCGCGTGTAGCTGCAGGCTGTGGGGCAGGGTCAGTACCTGGGGCCCTGCCGAAGGGGCAGGGGCTACCCGGCCGTGTTCTCATCTTGACCACCCTGCGAGTGCCCAGGGCAGGCCAGGCGTACACACTGCAGGCTTGGTGTGAATATACCAAACCCGCCATCATGGGGCTCCAGCACCCAGCAACACTCTATGTACCAGCAGGGAGGAAAATAACTCGTCTCCCCAGGAGCTTAAGAGACAAGTCTGCTTTGAGAGGATCAGCGAGGAAATTGTTGCTCATGTCTGATAAATTGAGTTCATCTGAGTGTCTGTTTTTATGAACTATTTTTCCCATTTGTGACCTGCCTTAGAAATTTTTGTTATAATTTTTATTTTTTTCCAGCTCTCAGGAACTATGTGTATGCCTGCCATTATTTAATAGAACCTTACTGTTTGTGTTTATATTAATATTTTCGGCCTGTTTCAGCAGCGATTATCTTATTCAACTCTTATAACATTGCTCTTGGGAAGGAAAAATAACATTATACCCATTTTACAGATGAAGAAATTAAATCTTAGCAATATCAGTTAACTCCCCCAAGGCCACCACAGCTCGCAAAATAGCAGAACTTGGAACTAGCACCTAAATATTGTAGGAGTCTTCAAGAAAACATCTGTGTCTGGCAAACATAGGGTGATATTAAAAAATGTCAAGAACTAGTACCATAAAACTTGAATCAATCAATCAAAATACAAAATGAGGGGCACCTCGGGGGCTCAGTAGGTTAAGCGTCCGACTCTTGATTTCGGCTCAGGTCATGATCTCAGGGTCATGAGATTGAGCCCCAAGTCTGGCTCCAAGCTTAGCACAGAGTCTGCTTGAAATCTTCTCCCTCTGCCCCTCCCTCCCTCATGAGCATGCACACACTCTCTCTCAAAAATAAAATAAAATAAAATAAAATAAAATAAAATAAAATAAAATAAAATAAAAAATAAAAAATGCTTTCTTTTTATTCTTAGTTAAACAAAACTATATATTATAGGGGCGCCTGGGTGGCTCAGTCGTTAGGCGTCTGCCTTCGGCTCAGGTCATGATCCCAGGGTCCTGGGATCGAGCCCCACATCGGTCTCCCTGCTCCGTGGGAAGCCTGCTTCTCCCTCTCCCTCTCCCCCTACTTGTGTTCCCTCTCTCGCTGTCTCTCTCTCTCTGTCAAATAAATAAATAAAATCTTTAAAAAAAACCCCAAAAAACCCTATATATTATAAAACTCCCAATCATGTGATATAATTTGTAGCATAATTTGTTAAGTCATTTTAGTAATTTTCAATCACTTTTTGATTTTTAGGAAATGTTCATGTGATCTCCCTGTATAACTTGGTGGCTGCTAGCTAAAAGATGCCATTGTCTGAGCCATGGTCTGACACAGGGAGTGACATCGATAGACATTGGGTGACTTGTATGGAGACTCCTCTTCACGTCAATGGTATTGCTCTTGGTATTCACGAGTTCTACAAAACCAACAGTAATTCCATTCAAAGGACTTCTAGACTTCTCTAACACTGCCTAAGATTTTATACAATACCTCTGTCGTTAACCAAGCCGTGAAAACACATTATTAGAATGCCATTATTTATTAAATGGCTTCATCTTGTTGATTTTTATTCATTTTCAAGCCATGGAACATAATTCAATAACCTGAAATAGTGTAAAACATTGTTCTGGGGCACCTGGGTGGCTCAGTTGTTGGGCATCTGCCTTCAGCTCAGGTCATGATCCCAGGGTCCTGGAATCTAGCCCCACATCGGGCTCCCTGCTCTGCGGGGAGCCTGCTTCTCCCTCTCCCCCGCCCCCCCCACTTGTGTTCCCTCTCTCGCTGGTCTCTCTCTGTCAAATAAATAAATAAAATCTTAAAAAAAAAACCCAAAAACATTGTTCTGTTTTTTCACTTTTGTCATCAAACCACAAGTGCATTATAATGTAATTGATCAGACATAATCAATGGGAAAAAATAGTTTTCTCCTGGAGTTGATGTTCATTGTGTATATCGACAAATGGTGTTTCCTGTGCCTCCATTTCAAGTGTGCCTTCTTCTTCAAGCTCAGTTTATTTTAAATATTTGGTCACTTTTACAATTTATGGAATTAATCTGTCATTTTTAATAACTGAAAATGTTCTTTCTGATGCAATCAAAAGAAGTATTGGCACTTCTCCTAGACTATAATTTATAATTTCCAAATCTCTCTTTTAGATGTTTTTTAATAGTTTTCGTTTCCAAAATTTTAAAGGCTTCCAGTCCAGTTGTGCATTACAGTGAATATACAAAGTGTGATGCAGTTTTCACACTGCTTTTCTAGCTCAAGCCCTAGAGACTGCCCATTAAGGCTTGACCAGTCTTCTCATTTCAGTTCCCAGCTTGTCAGGTGCATTAGACATTTTATTTTATTTTATTTTTAAAAGATTTTATTTATTATGAGAGAAAGAGAGGCAGAGGGAGAGGGAGAAGCAGGCTCCCTGCCTGATGTGGGACTCAATCCATGGACCCTGGGATCATGACCTGAGCCTAAGGAACCTTACCCGACTGAGCCACTCAGGTGCCCCTGTCTTTCTTTCTTCTTAAATTCACTCTCCAGCAAGATGGGGAATTTACAAACCTGAGTCATTTGTGACTGAATAGCTCCCATTACTTTAAAAAAACATTCTCACATTCTTCCTGAAGTTTCACCCTTGCAATCAGCCTGAGATCTGATTCAGAGTCAGTGGATATTTTGTTCTAATAATACAGATTCAAAATGATGCTCAGGGAGGCTGTGCCCTGAGTCAGGCAGAATGGGAGGTGGGCAGCCAGGTGGAGGGGAGAAGGATGGTCTTCCCGTGTAGGACCACACACTGTAGTTTCCACTAAAGCTGAGCTTCTGAGTGGGCATCGAATTCTCACTCTGAGAAGTTTTATATTGTATTTTATTTAAATGATCATGTTATGCATCATATGTGTATTTCAGTCTTCTGTGTATTTTTTGTGCTTATTATTGGGGTGTGGCAAATAATTCTCCCAAGAAAAGAGTAGAGGGGGACTTCCTTCCTTGATTTATTTATCCTATTAACTAACAAATACTTACTGAGCACTTTCTATGTGAAGATGCTGCAGTAGGTGCTGGCAGATGGGGGGACGGCGTCCTGTGAGGGGAAGCTTGGCAGTGATCTGAGCAAACCCAGACTTCTCAAAGGGCAAGTCAGAGTCTCGCTGCCACAGTTTAACTTCAGCGAGCGTCATCTACATGAAATTGATGCTGTTAACTCGAATTTAGTGGCTGTTTCCAGTTTTGTTTATATGTTGTGTAAATTTGAAAAAATAGTTGTATAGAAGCGATCAGAATAAAGGGTTCATATCTGTTTTTATGTTTGTACATATTCAAATAATGTTGTAATGAAAATAACAGACCTTCTTAGGGCTCTCCCTGCCCCCCCACCTCTCACATGAACTCTTGAGCAGTTTCAGGTCGCTCCCTTAACAACGCAGGTGCACACAGGCACCCAGCAGGGGCACACATCCGTGCAGACAGCATGAGCACGCACACACCATGCACACATGTACATGTGCACACCGCACGTACACACACACACACAGCATGCACTCACACGCCTACATTAGCACACGCTGGGTTCCCAGCACAGCCAGAGGCACTCCGGGCCCCAGGACCTAGGAGCCTGGCCGGGGATCTTCTCGCCCTCCCAAAGGTTTAGAAGTCGCCCTAGGAGGGATCCTAGAGATATCCTTCCTGCACTGGCAGCTCAGACCCCCCCCCCCCCGAGGCCCCGCCGCCTGCCCCAGGCTGCCCTCCCCCGCCCCCCACGACGCCCCCTCTTCGCTCGCGCCGCGCAGGCCCTGGCCCCAGACCCCTCCCGGGCCTCGCACTCTGAGCCGGACCCCCAAATCAGCAACACCGTCTGCTTCCGGTCTGACCCTTCCGAAAGCTTGTACTGTCAATTAGCTTGTACCAGCCACCCTGGCAGAGACTGCAGGGCAAGTCCCAGTTGAAGAAAGGAGCCTGCGCTCCCCGGAGCGCTCCCTTCCGGCTGCGGGGCGGGGCCGGGCCGTGGGAGACCGCGAGCCGCCTGGGTGAAGGCTGGGAGGGACTGCGCCGCATCCCGGGGAGATTAAAGGCACTGCCTGGGGAAGTAGGTAGGATGGATTTTCTATAACTCAAGAGGACAGAAGTAGAACCTGTGAGCGGAAGTTTTAGGGACACAGATATTTGACTTAAAAAAAAAGAAAGAAAGAAAAAGAACTAACAAAACTGTCCACAAATAGAATGAGCTGCCTTTGTGAGGGATGTAACCCCTAAAAGTGTTCATACCAAGGATGAGGACGGAGCACCGACGTCCTGGGTGCGGTGGGAGGATCTCTACATACACCCACCACACCGGGACATCTGTGACTCAGGTTGAGACAACAGCTTGGCCTCAGGGGGCCATCCTCCTGAGCCAAGTGCCCTCATCTGGGCGGGATTCAGCCCTTGAGGAGAGAGGCGATCATTTCTAAAGCAAAATGCCATTTGGAGTGGTAATTCACCCTGGTGCATTGGGTACAGGAACGAGTGGAAGTCACATCCTTTTAGATTTTGTTGTTTGTATGTTTGAGGTCTGACTATACACCAGTGAGACAGGTGTTGGCAGGCTTGAGTGTCATCCCATCTCAATTGTCCCCTCATTGAGTTCCCGTGAATCATGTCCAGGTGGACAGGAGAATGTGGGGCACAGCATCCGTGACCAGAGCAGTGATTTCTGTGCATGGGCACTCTGTGCACCCACCCTCCCCGAGCCTTCCAGGGAGGGTGCCGAGTTTGTAGCCTGGCCTTTGCGCTTGCTAAGGGGGTAATAGAAGTAGAGGCTAAGCTCACTTAGAAAAGGTGGAGTCCTTTTGGAAGGGTCAGATCCTGGATCCTGGATCCTAGATCCTGGAGTCAGAAGCCTGGGGAGCTGACACGTGTGTGGATCTGTACTCCCCCTCCTGGTGGAGCCTGGAAGCCAGCACACCTTGTAGTTGTCCACGCCTGGCACAGAGCAGGAGCCCCAACACCACAACTGTTGTACGGTGGGGGGGCCCTCAGGTCCTGGCCAGGCCCGGGGGGGGGACCTGGTTCCGAGCAGTGGAGGCGTGAAGACTCCGTGCAGGTGGGGCGGCGGAGATGCGGTATGACGGCGGAGATGCGGTATGACCTTCACAGGCTGAGCTCCAAGGCCAGTGGGCATCTTGGGGGAGGCCTGGGTGGGACATGAGCCTGGCTGGTGCCTTGACATATTAGCCCCCAGAGCACCTGTCTGTGACACGTTTTGACCTTGGCCTCTCTCTGAGGCCAGGGAAGGAGCCCCCTCGGAGCTGGGCTTTTCTCCGGGTATGACAAACATAAGGACCCCCAGAACAAGCCCTGTGTTTGCAACTGTTTACGTGAGGGTGGTTCCAACTCCCTTGTAGAAACTAAGATAATTGTAGCAAGGAACGGGAGTCCTACAAGAGAAAGAGAGGGATGCTCCCCACAGCTTTATTTACATACATTTTATTTATTAGAGAGAAGTTGGGAACCCGAGGCAGGACCCCCTGAGTGGGAACAGCACTCCTCAGATGTGGGGGCAGGTCACTGTCTGTGGCTTGTCCCTGGGCCATGAGCACACCAGGTGGCTTCCTGGAGAAAGGCCACATTCTCCCAGGTCTGGGCGCTGAGAGAAAGCAACCCCCTGTCCCCAGGCTGGCCAGACACAGGGCCAGGCTCTGGCTTCTCTGTGAGGAGGCAGCTCTGAAGGGTGGCCAGGCTCACCTTTGCTGTGTAGGAGGAAAAACATACTGCTGCCAGGCTGTTCGAGGAGAAAGAACTTTTCTTGGAGGACCTGGATTCCGGTTTTAAGGCCCTTGCCTGATTTGTCACTGACTTGGGGTCACTGACGGGGTCCCGGGGCGAGCAGGCCACAGACACTTTCCCCGGGGCTGGGCAGAAGGGTAGAAATGTGGTGAATTGGAAAGTGCCAGGCTGACAAAAGGCGCTCTGTTAACATTTTTTTAAGCCTGTGCCAAGAACACCTGTCTGGGAAGGGAATTCTCGGACCACCTCGTTTTAATCCTAATTGTATAGATACAGAGTCTTGTGACAGGTAAGTCTGCTCACAGCCGAGCAATTCTAACCAGAGTCTGTCTTTGGCCATGCTAACGTTCTCAGTCCATGCCAGGCCTGGTTACCCAGTGGAGATGCCAGGATGTGTGGGGACGTGGAGCTGTGTGTGTGTGACCGAGAAAGGGGGCACACTAATAAACACTGGGGTGCACACCGAAATAGGAGGTCACGAACTCTGAGCGCATAGGGATGATTTCCCATTTTCTCAATAGTGCCTCTAGAAGTCAGTAAATCAAGGGCACAAGGAGAGACCCTGAACCCTTGCGGACCCGGTCCCCTCCTTGCAGGGGACACATGCCACTGGAGCAGCTTCAGCTAGTGACTTGGTTATCGGTGACATCCCAAACCCTGTAGCCTTTCTCTGCAGGGTCCACACTGCGTGGAGCTCCGCCGAGCAGCCTGGCCATTCCTGCTAACCACGGGGACCACACCTTTCTCCCAGCCAGTGGACTAAATGTGGGTTGTGGAGATACTAAGATTAGAACAAGAAAGTGTCACATTTGGAATGCATGTCACCTAAGTCAAACCGGAGACAAGAGGGAGCCGCACCTGTTGGGACCCTGCCCAGACATGGAGCAGGTTTTTATTCTGCTAGTTCTCTCCCATCAATAGCCTCATGAAGGGCCCTCGGTAGCCTTTGATGTTTGCAAAATCAGCCTTTGCCTCCCCTTTCCACAGGCCTTGAGCATTAGAGCCCCAAGGCCCGGGTTTAGCCCTCCCTGAGAACTCTGTCGGGCTCCTCCTTCCCAAGTCATCCCAGTAAAGCACCACACAGGATAAGGGGAAGAGAGCCCCCAGACTCCAAGTAGTCCTTCTGAATGGATCCCCTTTTTGACGATGAGGCGGCACTTCCACATTGTCCTTTTGCTTAATTCCCCTCCCCCCAGAACAGGCCAGGGTGCCCTGTGGACACGGGGAGGAAAAGGACACACAGAGGGAGGGCACCAGCTGAGTCAACAGGATCAGGCCCATCAGTGAAAATTCCTTTTTTGGAAGCCAGGCCGTCTCTTTCCAGGACTGCAGAATCCTCGGGAAGTGACGCAAGCCCTCAGTCAGGGAGACGCAGGGGCAGCGCTCCACTCCTCCGAAGGTGCTGGAAAGGCGGCTCAGCGAGTGAGATGTGAGCGGTTTCTGGGGTCCTCTCCTTCCTCCTGGAGCACCCGGCCCAGCCCCAGCCGCAGCCGCAGCCCCAGCCCCAGCCCGCGGAGGGCAGGCTTCTGAGCAGAGCTCCTTATATAGGAAACCTTCTACCAGGGAGGCTTGTGGGGGGCAGCCCGGCACTGCATCTGAGCCTTCTCTGTGAAACCGCCTCTA